TGAATGTTCGGCATCTGGTACTTATTTTTCCAGATTTGAGCATTCATCGGTTTAGCATTAAGGGCCAGTTTGATCGATCCATCCTTTTTGGCAGTTAGAACAATTGGTGCAATAAAGAAATCAGTCGTACACTTGTCTAACTTTTCAATATGTCCTTGCTCCACCAGAAGTTTTATTTCACTCGCGACCCTATCCTGTATATGAATAGGCACTTTTCTTCCCTTGATTTGACGTGGTACTAACGGGAATTTGAAATTAGTGTGTACTTTATGACTCTTTGATCGACCCAAGCGACTGAACACATGAGCGTACTTCTTTGCGAAAAAGGAACTCCAATATTCTGATACCGGATCTGAAGAGCTATAATCCACCGACTGGATTGTTTCTGCCCTCAGTTGTGTAGTCACAATGCCCAATTTCTCCTGCAAGTCCAAACCGAGAAGATTACGAGTTCTATTCTCCGAGATGAGGAACTGAGCGTTTGCCACCAAAAGCCACTAGGGGAAATCGGTATTTGGATCGACCCCAAAAGGCGAATAGGCCTTTTATTGTAGTCGACATACAAGGTATCGATAGGGTACCAGGTGATATCGCGAAACTCTATCGACGGGCTTCTTTGCAAGAGTAAATCACAAGTGCGTTTGTTCAGGAGCGAAACCGGACTTCCTGTGTCGACTGTTGAATAAAAAAACTATAACCAGAGCGTAACTGAATACTGAGGCTCCGAGGTTGTCCTCCACTTGACTTAAGAATTTCTACACTATTTATCATCACAGCGGATTCTAGCTGCAACACCCCATATTTGGGCTCACTATCCTGGTCTACATCTATGAAATTACAATCCACAGAGGGACCTGACATGTCCTCATTTTCTTGCACCAGATTGACACGTCGTTTCGAGGAATTACAGCATTTCGCGAAATGACCTCGTTTCCGACAGAGATTACACGTTACGTCACGAGCTGGACAGGATTTTCGGTGCTCCGGACTATAAGGATCACCGCAGAATTAACACGATTTACTTGTTTGATTGCTTTGTGACGACTGTCGATTATTTTGATTTTGAGGATAATTTCGCCTCCTTCTCGACGGCTGAATAGAACAAGTGGGTTCTTGTTTCACTTTGATACCGGTTGAATTTTGATTATGTGGCAGTAGTTTTTGAAACTGAGCCGACCTACTTGCTCCTTTCTCGCACTCTAGCGCGAGCTTAAAAGTGCCATCTAGATCAGCTTTTGCTTTGATGAGTTGTTGTTGAACCTCAACGTCTCGAATCCGCCCGATGAAGAGGTCTTTAAGAGTCTCCTTTTCTTGATCATGAGGCCAATTGCACAAAGCCACTTGGGCGCTCAAGCGAGCGTAAAATGACGAGAAAGTGTCATTCTCAAGCATAAAAACCGTTTTATATAACTTGATACGCTCCACCGTAAACTCTCGTTCAACCTTGAACAGCGTTTCACATCCAGTGTGAAATTCGCGAAAAGGGATATTACTAATGTCCGTGTGAGGAAATGAGTCAGCAAATTGTCTTCTACCTTCGTTTCCCAGGGCAAAGAACAAGCGAGATTTCATGCGAGCTTCAATTTCATGATAAAACCAATTCTGGCTAATCCGAGGGCCTTTCCTCCGCCTCTCTACGTTTAGTTCAGTGATCCTCCGGATCGCCGCTTGATCTCTCCGTCTGCGGGCCTCAGCTGCTCCAGCATCTTCGCCCTCCGCGACTGACTCTGGTCTTGGAGGAGGTTCATCTATAACCTCGGTGGGTTCAACTAACAGATCATGAGGATTGATATTATCTTTCAGGCCAGCGGCCAGAAAGAATTGACCGATCCACGATTCCCACAGGAATGGTGGGCTAACAGAGGCTTTCGCCCAATAGGGGGGAATGCCTAACAGGTCAGTCCTGTCTTCGTTCACAGGAACTGCTGGCTGCGCCATGAGATTTGCCGAAGTCTAAGAATGAAAACTTGGTTGCGGAACAATAAGTAAATTGTTATAGTTTGATACTTGGTTGTTTTTATACTTAGTTCCGAATAATAAACTTGGTTTGGGAATTTGTCCCGATAGAACATGAGATGATTGATAAACAGATTGCTAGCATACAGTAAGTTTTAACAGATAATAATACAACACGCTCAGCGTGGTATTGAGATAGGAACTAGCACCGTGACCTTGGTTATCATAATTAATATCTTTTGCAGTATGACTGCAAAAGGACAAATAACAAACGAGGCACCGAAGGTCGCCTCACGACAGGAGGCGAAAAAATCATGTCTTCAAAGTTTTTCTGGGAACACATCAAAAATGGGTAATTGTCGTTTAAGTAGGAATACATCAGTTGCAATAAAGTGTCAAGAAAAACTTGGCAAAACACAAAACAATTATTATCATATTCAGGAGTTGATCTAGGAGTTTCTCGAGGGGCGGATTTTCAAAATAATGGGAAATAATTGTACAAAGTGGGGACATGCCGACCAAAAGTGTCCCCACTTTGTACAATTTGAGACATCCATTTTTGGATGACTGACTTTAAAACTTTTAAAAAGGCGCCTGCGGCGCCAATAAATACTAATTTTGATGGGGGAACGCGCGCCAAAAAAAACGCGATTTTGGCCTTTTTTGAAACATTTGACTGCGGCATAGAAAATTTGGTCAAAATAGGCTCTCTAGAGTGATTTGGGAAAAGTCAGAAATTCAGTTTTGTCGACCTAAAAAAGATCGAGAAAAATGTCCCATTATTTTTAAAATCCGCCCCCACTCGAGAAATTCCTAGATCCGCGCCTGAAGGCAACCATGAAGTTTTTGAACAGCTTGAGTGATTACTGGAGATTTTCATCCGATAAATCTATCATACATCTGATTTTTTTATTTGGTTTCAATTCAGTGAAAATCACTCCCAATACTTAGTATTCAGAACAGAACCAAACATTGAAAAATGAAAAAATTTTGACACCATCAAATTATCAAAATTAGATTGGAGTATGATTTCTTTTAATTTTTTGCTTAAACGTTTCTCAGCAAAACGTTACAGTTGGTTGGAAATGATTTTTGAATTACAGATTCTCTGTCAGTCTTAATTATGAGTAAGCCTACATTCTGAACTAAGATTTTTTTCTGATGTTTTCGAGACTTTTCTTTTTCTAACGCTTTCAGTCGATTGGAGTATGATTTCTTTAAATTTTTTGCTTAAACGTTTCTCAGCAAAACGTTACAGTTGGTTGGAAATGATTTTTGAATTACAGATTCTCTGTCAGTCTTAATTATGAGTAAGCCTACATTCTGAACTAAGATTTTTTTCTGATGTTTTCGAGACTTTTCTTTTTCTAACGCTTTCAGTCGATTGGAGTATGATTTCTTTTAATTTTTTGCATAAACGTTTCTCAGCAAAACGTTACAGTTGGTTGGAAATGATTTTTGAATTACAGATTCTCTGTCAGTCTTAATTATGAGTAAGCCTACATTCTGAACTAAGATTTTTTTCTGATGTTTTCGAGACTTTTCTTTTTCTTACGCTTTCAGTCGTTAGAGTATTCTAGAAAATAGTCCTACGCTAATCAAACTACATTGAAGATCCGAGTACCTTAAGTTTTTCTTTTGGATTTTTCTTAAAAACCTCTGATAGTTTTGATTTTCAGAACACGGATTGAACTCTTGATTTGCATTTGATTTCCTTGAATCTGTTTGAAAAGTCTAGACAAACAAGCACTAAGGACAGCCGCTTACTGTGTGGTTATTTGTCTGCGTGGAAAAATAAAAGAATCTGAGCGGAAAATAAGGACTTGAGCATATTCGACAGTCATAGTAAAATAGACAAATTAAGCAACAGTTTTTGTAGAAAAATGACTAGAAAAAAATCTATTTATAAAAATTATCAAGAAAAAAATTATTTCAAATTTTTTTCTTTTCTGCAAAATTTTTTGGATGTTTGAAATTTTGGTTTCCCAACTTGGCACCAAAATCTCCACAAAGCAACTTTATTCGAGTAAAATTAAGTTTTCATGGCTTAAGTTCAACATAAATAAGCTATTGTAAGCCTGCTCAATCGCTTCATTTCAAAATTGGACTAAAAATTAAAAATTTTATACCTTGTTTCTCGATATTGGGAAAGAATATTTAGAAGTTTTTTAAACATCGTTCGAATCGTGAACAAAAAAATATTAACAAGACATATCGCTCGACCTATTCCGATGATTTTTTGTGGCACCAAATTTTCCGTTGAAAACAAATAGCATAAAAAATACACTCGAATACGAAGCTCCTCGCCATTTTCAATGATCGGAACAATGAGCAGAGATGATCATACACACTCGAGATAACAATTAAAAATAATCCGAAGTGTTTTCTATTCCATTTTTTGTATGGGTTTTCCGACTAGAGTCTTTGACAATCACTCAGTTTATAAAGTAACCTTCGCGTTTAACCTTGGTATATTATAACTAAGTGTAAGAAGGCAAACGCAGTTAGGCCAATCTGGGCTCGCTAATTTCTACCAGCCGGCCCAGATCACCTTAAGCTACCTTCAAGCACTAATTCAAAATATACCATCGCTTAGCACAATGGATACTTTGCAGACTGAATGGTTGTAGTCCAAAGCTCATGAAAGAATAAGCCATACAAAAAAGGAAAAAAATCAATTTTTTTATCAAACAAATTAATATTTGCCCTTTGTGTGCCTTGAATTTTAAAACCGCGCCTCACGGATAACGTTTAGTTCCAAATTTACCAGAAACAAAGCAGGGTGGGGTTTTAAAACGTTTTTTTTCTATCCAGTTATGCAATAAAACATGTTTCAAACAAAAAAAGCATGTTTTTTCTATGTGCTCAAGTTTTTTTTTTCAAAAAGCCCTTATTTCTGCTACTTTCTTCAAAATTACTCAAGTAAAACTTAGTGACGGGGGGTAGGGATAGTCTAAGAGAAGTAAGGACAGAAACATTTATGACACTACAACTAAAACATAAAAGTTATGAAATAAAATGTGCCTTAAAATATTACTTTGCAGGTTTCGGAGGGTGTTTCTGCCGGCTCAGTGATTCATGTGTTCACAGCTATCGACCCAGATGGAGACGAAGATCTCACTTTCTCACTAATGAGTCAAAATGAACAGCAGCACATCTCAATTGCATCAAATGTGAGCTCCATTAAACAGCTGGTGGTTCAATGAGTTCCCGGCCACACTAATTTATTGAATAATTATTTGTAGTTTCAGCGATTCGCAGAGGAAATTTGAAAGGCTATCTAGACTGTTTAAGCATAGACCGTTTCTCTTATTTCCCGACGTTCCAGACCGAGTTATTTTGTTCAGCGAAGCTCTTTTTTGCAACCAAAGACGTTTTTTTTTGCCTCTAGAAATTTAACGTGGTACCACTATTGCAGCCGCTTGATGAAAACAGGAACCAAAGTATTCAAAAATTGGCATTTTGATCAAAACTTTGCTAAATATAAACAAGTTGGTGCTTCACGATGACAAATAAAAGTCGACAAAATTTTTTCAAAAAATCATTTTTGCGCACTTCTAGAGTTTTTCGCGAGATTCATTACGCATGACTGATTCAGTGTGAGCTTACATTTTCTACAAAGTATACCGGGCTAGGGAGAGTTGGATTTAGCTTTGAAGTCTGATAGTTTCAAATCTGCTTTTCTTTGATGCATAAAATTTGGATCTACTTAACAATCTCCGACCCCCCTATGGTACCTAATTAAGAATCTCCACCCCTATAAATCAACACAGTAAATAAGCACTGAGCTTTCTATTGAGAATTCTAATTTTGCTGCATTCTGATTGGTCGAAAAATCGACCATTTTGACCTACTTAACAATCTCCAACCCCCCCCCCCCCCCCCCCCCCTTCTTGAAAGGGGTGGAAATTGTTAAGTAGATCCAAAATTTTCTTTAGAAGCGATCCCCTTTTTCGTGTCTTTGGCCCTCAAGCATAAGAAGTGAAATTCTCGATTGATTTTTTTTTATTTAGGAGCTATTCTCATAGGCAAAAGACCGAATGCGCGAAACTTTCAACCAATCAAAGACCTTGAAACTGTCCAAAAATTAACCAAATTTGACGCTTGTTTCGAATTTTCGAATACTGAGCTCTGATTGGTTGACTAAATCTGATTGAGTATATCAATTGCACCTAGTGTTTAGCCTTGTGATGAGCCAGGGTGTTGATAAATGTGCGTCCTTGTTTCAGGGCTCGCTGTTTGTGTCGGGGGAGCTCGATCGAGAAACTTCAGCTCAGTATGATTTAGTCATTCAGGTCGTCGACAGTGCTGAAAGGTCTGGAACCGCACAGGTAAACAAAACACAAAATCTGATTGAAGTTCGAAGAATATCTTTTGATTGGTCCTTAATTGTCAATACCTGAAAACCTTCGTTCTGTGGGTTACGACAACTAAAAACCTTCGTATGCTTTCAAAACACGTCGCTACAAAATTAGACAATTCTACCAGTAGTGGTTCTTTCGACAATTCAAGTTTCTTTCCTACGTGGTAGTTTTTCACCCACTTGGTTTCTGCAAGTTTTCGAAGTCAGAGCAGCCCTTAAAATGAAAATTCATAACTTTAGCTCCTCTCACATTACGCCCCAAATAATTGAAACATTTTGCCCCTCACGCATTTCCACCCACAAACTTAATGCAACTGTAAGGATAATCACGGTACCAAACTCGGTTTTTTAACTAAGCATATACTCGTGTTTCCACAGACACATCTTTTGCGAGACATTTGTCAGTGAGTTTCACAAAACAAATGAAGCCTTCACAAAATGTCCACAAGATATTTTTTGTCATTGGATTTCGGAGATTATCGTTTTTCGGCAGTTGAATTGGGTTTCGTTAAAGGACGCTGGTTTCAACAACTTTGTCAGTGGATTCTGCAGTCATTTTCTCCTTTTGCTCCTTTTGTCCAACGCTTGTCAATGGATTCTGCAGTCATTTTGTTTTTTCTGTCACTGGATTGGCAAATATCTTTAATTAACTATAAAATAGAATCAAAAATGCTGAAAAAACTGCAAATAGATTGCGGCATCCCGGGTTGACAAAAAAAGCTTATCATACTATTTCATATTTTGAAAAAATGCTTATCATACTATAGACCAAAAAAAATAAGCATGATAAGCATTTTTTCCATACTATGGAATATTATGATAAGCCTTTTTTCCATAAATGAAAATACCAAAAGTTTTTGTTTTGAAATTTTGTGTTTCATCCGAAACACTAACCCTGGACTTTTTGTAACAAGAAAACCCAGAGTGTAACTGGCAGATACTCTCTAGCCAAAACTCAGACTAAGCTTCTAGTGCTTAAACATTTGGAGAGAACTTGCCAGCACACTTGGAGATAACTTAAATCGAATTTTAGTATATTAAGCACACATTAGTATGGTATGAAAAAAAATAATAATAAGAAATCTGAGTTAGGGGCGAAATGTCTTAAATATACAAAACATTTGAGAAGCAACTTGCGAGAGGTTAAACTTTCCGTTATGATCAACAGAGGCAAAGTTAGTCTTTTGATGCATGTGCAACCATTATGGAACCTGATCTAAACTACATTTTATGATTGGATAAATTAAATGTTTTACCAATGTAAAGTATTTAATATTAACCAATCATGATCCATCTGACTAACAACCCACTTATTTGTAAGTGCTGAAGTTACTTGTAATTTCAGCACCAGAGAGATTTGAATTTAACTTAGAAATTAGTTGGACTCTCCCGAGCACTTCAGCAGCCGCAATAAACCAGTATACCCTAGATCTATTGAGCCTAGCAGAGACTAGTTAAACAACCTGAGACTAGATAGTATAAGAGTAAGATTAGGATCGGTATTAGACTAAGAAGTTGCACGAATCTATCCGGCCGAAAATAAGATAGCGTGACGAGCAGACGGTGTACCCTATCCGAAATTACTCTATGAGTTACACTTCGGTCTTAACTCATCTGGTGCGACCATAAGTCTCGAACAAGACCTTACTAGATTAGAATTAACCAAAATTAGATTAGAAATTAGACAAAAACATTTACAAAATGTTATACGACAATAATTTAATTGAAATGTCTCTCCGACTCAATAGATCAGAGCCAATATTCCGAACCATAATAGAACTACCCGGAATTGGAAGAAGACATCGAACCAAAGACGACATACGACAAAGTAGAAACTTGCCGTATAGTTATATGATAGTTCGGCAAAAGCCAGAACAAACTTTTATATTTCGAATACTACTTGCAATGAATTTAGATTTCCATTTGCAAACATAAAACCTTGAAGTTACTCTTCAAAATCATTTCAGGCGCTAAACAAATTTATTAATATACAATAACGATTGATAAAAAGATCTAAGATCGTTTTCCTAAAACTCTGCAGTATTATACAAAACATGTTTGAAAAATATTTATTGGAAAATAAAAATAAAAATTAGTAGCATGACAATAAATGGTTAGTAATCATAAATCATCTTGTTGTTCCAGCTTCATCACCTAAAACATAACAGCAATCATCAACTCACTAATATCATCAAAACACTAAATTTTTCCTTTACACAAATTTAAAACTTTATCAAAATTTAAAGTCACTTAATTTTAAAACCAGATCATCAAGGCTTATCCTTGGATCTTAAATCATTTTCTACTTAATTAAATTTTAAACTTGATCATCAAGGCTTATCCTTGGATCAAACAGAACAACTTTGTTCTCCCCCACCCACTTAATTAGTGTCTAACGACCTCAAACGTCGATTCACTACCCAACCCTTTCTAAAGACCCAAGACTAATAGAAATTTTTAAACAAAACTAATCATTCAAATTAGGATAAACAGTGAAGAACTTCGGTTAATCATCCTTCACTTGACCCCCCCTCTTACCAGACCCAGGATAAATCTTAGACTTAGTAAGTTTAAAATAGTATCTAACGAACTACTCGCGTTCTAATTATACCTGAACCTTGTGGATCGATTTACTATTCTCCAACCCTTGAACACAATCACTACCCCTAAGTAAGATTAAGTAAGTTAACACCTTAGCTTATACTAGTCACGAGAAAGTAAAAATCATTCTTCGGAATCGATATACTTTTCTCTCCAACCCTGAACAAATAGACCCAGGTTAAGCTAACCAAAAAATCGTAAGAACTAACAGTTTAGGAAAATAGAAATCATTTAACAACCTTTTGCATCCGTCATCCTAAACCTTATGTCATTTAAAAACCTAGGAAATAAACAAACAATCATTTTACACAATTGTGAAATAGATAACAAAAAATACGACCTTGTAATCACACCTCATACACAAACAGTTGGAAGTTGGTACGACGTTTCACAACATACCAAACACGATTTACAAAAAATTTTGGCATGGTTCATAATAGATTATTTCACACACAATATTGATTTAATTGCACAAGCAAGAAAAAATTTTAGACCCCAAAATTCGAACGATGATACCGCTATCACAGAACAATCAGATTATGTTTGGGACCCCGAATGGTCTCATCCCGCATTTATAAGCTTTCCACAATCAATCTCAAGTCAAGCAATAGGTACAATATCTTACATAAGAGATTACGTAAGAGTAATACCATTAACAATTGATGCAACACCATTAAACTATAATACATTTTTACCCGATACACAAAATAATAGTTTAAACTCTACAGTCATACACAACGAAAACCTCAATGGAACAAGGAATCTTACTCAACAAGATATCCAGACACCATCACACTTCATAAATGAAGAAATTGTACACACAACAACTACACAACAAAGTATTTCACCAATACGCCCAAATTTAACAACACCAAGAAATACAAATCCTTCACAAACACAGGTAACCTTACAATCAACCGTTAAACCTTCGGTTGCTCCTAAATATTCACATATGGATTACCAAACATATAGACCCATGACAATACCATCAAAAACACGCAAAACATTCACTAGAAACAACTTTGCAGACCATAATTATAATTATACACATCCATCAAAAACAAATTATCAACCACAAAGGAATTTTAATCAATATACAAAACCTCGAAACTGGGATAACCCAACGGCCCAATATAATTCCAAAAATTTTCAACCAAATCCTCCACAGGATCGCAGTGAAAATTACCCATTTTTTCAACAAAATAAAAATAAAAAACAAACATCTTATCAAATGGATTATTTATCCTCAGATGATGACTTCTTACAACCAGATATATTTGTACCAAATACTCAAGAATATCGTAGACAAGGAATACAAAAAACACGTACAAATCATAGAAATTTTTCTCCACAACCGATAGATGCACAATATCAACAACCAATCCAACAACAAAATCCAATTAATACACAAACTTTTCAACCAATTCAACAACAAAATCCAATGACTGCACACTCGTATCAACCATCACAAATGCAAAATGAAATACCACTCCCATATTATCTTCAACAACATGAAATAACAAGAAACCAACTTTCAAATTTTTCTCAAATGCCAAATGCAGCAGAATCATTACAAATGACAATGAATCCATACCTTATGGGTGGATCATCAATAACATCAAACAAACCTTTAATGGTTTTCACAGGAACAGACCCTGAATACTCTGTAGAAGATTATTTAAATGCAGTAACAGCAAATTTGATTTTAAATATAGGACCTGAACCAATTAATACGCCACTACATCAAAACTGGATACATCGACGCACAGCGTTGATACAAACAACCTTAGATGGCGCAGCCCAAAAATGGTTTTCAGTACTACCTCTAGAAATAAAATCAAACTGGAAAAGATTTACACAAGAATTTTCAAAAATGTTTGACTCCGAAAGAAACAAACAACAACAAAGAGTTTTATGTAATGAAATTCGCAGATTACCAAACGAAACCATCAAGCAAATAGCAGTACGAATCGAAACACTAGTTCGAAAAGCATATTCACTAAATACACATGACTATAAAAACACAAAGATGACAGAAATCTTAATGATGACCTTAACACCACAATTAAGGAAAATAGCAATAAAAAAGAGAGCATCCCATCCTTCTTCAATTCGAGAACCCGATTTAGATTTTCGAAAACTAGTAGACAAATTAGAACAAGCAGAAATCACGATGAAACTAGAAGAAACGGAAAATCTGAAATTACAATACGTTAACAAAATTGAAACGACTTCCACTAATATTAATAATATACAGGAATCAGAAACAGACCTCGTTGAAAAAATCACTGAAATACTCAATATTTACGAAAAGAACCCGAACTTTAAAGGCAAACCATCTTTCAAAAAATGGTGTAATTATTGCCG